AATTTATAGATTAATGAATTTTGTGTTCCTTTGTTAATTTGAGTGGTGTCAAAACACTAAAGTGGTGCAAGTACACACTGACAAATTTAAAAAATGCAAAGGTGCAACGGAAATAAAAACAGAATCCATATTTTGTTGATCCTATTCTCTTCTTGATGGTACATTTACACTTTGCCTCTTAATTAAATTTCACACTTCATTAATAACTATATAGACCACTAGAGTTTGAATAGCATTTTTAAATCTCAACAGGCTAATCAGTATGCCACTCACAATTTTTATTCTCCTGATTCTTTGCTCTTGCACATGTTTTATGTTGATCGAGTTGTTTTTTGTACTAGAAACATACAAAGATCTTTCTCAATAACATAGTGGCTAGACTTCAGAAAAACTTAAACAAAGAGAAACTATAGACCACGAAGAATAACTATCCTTCAACAGTGTGTATATCTTTAATTGTTGTCACTGTATGGCCTTCTGCACATCTCATTCTATAAATATCACAATAACACAAATCATTCCAAAATTGTTCTTGAAACTAGTAAAATATTGAGTATAAACTTCACGTGCATGACGCTCCAATGGCAACTCAGTTTTAAGAGGCAAATACAAAGTTAATGATAACTTATGCTCTTTAAATTTTGCTCTTTCAATTCATTGTCACATTTTCTATCTGTTGCATGTTGAAAGCATACCCAAAACTCCACCAAACTCACTAGCGGTTTGTCAAACTACTAAATATGTGGTTTGGACTATCCAAACTAGAAATTGTTGTTAACACAACATCGAGATATGTAGCAAAATAATATGCTTGTGCACAATGCTCCCTGGTACAAAAATCAGTGTGAACCACTCATTATCCAGTAAGTGAAAACCACTCACGAGGCTATGCCATGACTATTCAAATGCGTCAACACTTTCAAAACTCCAACGAACAATTTCAACCAATCATGGATCACATCACACATATTAACCTTACTTTCCTTAGAATATGTCATATACAAAACCTAGGACTCAAGGTGTCAAATATTTGAGAGAAGACATTTTTTATGGCTAAATCTTAGTCATGGGTTGTTTACCTCCCATTGCATCCAAAAACTTCTCAAACAATCATTGAAAGGTATTTGTTTTTTTCATCAACAACCAAAGTTGCACCGAAGATAATCTGGTGATTGTCCACACCGGTGGATAGGCAAAAGACCAACTCATATATGATTTTTCCATGCGTAATGTCAAACGAAAGTAAACCTTTGAAGGCATGAAAGTTTATGCGACTCAACGAATCAGACCAAAAAACCCAAACGAACCTCATCAATTCCATCTTCAAAGTAAAACCTTGGTTCAGTTTCCTTTGACCTATTCAACATGTCAATGGAATTTGTGCACCATTGTGTTTATAATGGCCTTGAGACATCTTTGGTAGTTAAAGAAAATCTTTTTGTGCACCCTACATTTTGTTGCTCACTCATTATCTTTGCTGTCACGACAAACACCTTGAAGGCCCAATGTTCACTTTGCTAGCACTACACAACATGTGTTTGTGGGCAATGGAAACTTCTTTAGCCAAAGAAAGAAAGTGTCCTCAATTTGGAGTCACAATGGGATGCGCAAGTGCCTCTTTAAAACGAACAATGTTACACCCTCCTTCACACAAGACTACTAACATATGTGCACGACATCCTCCCCGAGTTTCAACTCTTTTTTTCTCTTTTGTTTCTGTTTTGAAACATTGTATTACGGTACTATTAAAAGATGAATAGGTTGAATACCTATTTTGGAAGGTTTTCTAAAATCTGTCTTCTAGCACACAAAATATTTCCAAGTTTTATCACCACTTCTACTTTTGCAAGAAACCAACGGAGCTTGCATATTGAGTGTAGAATGTGTGACATTCCTCAAAACTTCTAAAAAGTTGACATAACTTATGTTTTAATAGCTCATCATCAACTTCAAGAATCCAATTCCCGATGGATGAGTAATCGAGTGATTGAGTTTCTGGAAAAGTTGTATTAATTTTGACAGTCTCCATTTGCATGAGATATACAAGAGGCTACATAATACTTACTCCGTCCCAAAAAAGACTTATCATTTTTCCTTTGTAAAGTCCCTATTAAGGCTCCTTTCAAATTTTAGACAATCTATTGTGGGTTACAATCTCTATCTCTCCTTTACATTACTTTCAACCACTCTATTTTATTTTTCTAAAACTTTGTGTCAAGGCCAATTAGGAGTCTTTCTTGGAACGGAGGAAATATATCAAATAGTGAGCATTTAAATTGATTTTCCTTTCAACAAAATCAATCACACTCCAATGATCATCACCAAAAAATTATACCAAGTGGAAAATATGATGTAATTAGACAAGTAAAACCACATAAGCATAGCTAGTAAAAAGTTCATCACTAGGAAAACAAGAAAACTAACTCACAACAAATAAGATGGAGAAAAAAAAAGACATTTAGATAACTATATTGCCACAGAAATATTGAAAATTTAGATTCATATGAGCAAAAACAGCAGAGAGCCTACCCAGAAAAGCAACCCGATAGGCAGATACTATTCTAAAATTGGGTTTAGACAATCATAATAGTGTTTAATCTCTAGAAATCCAAAAATATAATATAAATTGGTATATAGAGTAGATTAAGTATTAAGAAAGAAATATATATACAATATAATTCAATAGGCTAGAATGTTAATCTTTGTCGACCGAATTCTGAAATATTTTGATGGAATTTAGGATGGGTATGGACAACTAGATTGGGTAATAAGACACTTGGGTCGAACTACATTAAAAGATTGAATCCAATCGATTAGTTAGTTTAACTCAAGAGCTTATATACCGGATTATTTTACTCTTGAACTTCCAATGTGGGATGCACTTTAACACTCCCCCTCAAGTGGACCACCGGGTCATTTTGAATCTAACCGGTTGACCACTTGCAAATGAACTCTCATTCCCTTGATTTTTTTTTGAGCGCCAACACTTAAAGGACCACGAGCCGCTTGGTATGGACTTCCAGACGGGCAATCGTGTTAAACGGGCCACAGGCCGTTGAGTACATACTCCATACAGACAACTGGGCTAAAGACAAACGGGCCGCTAGGAATGAACGTCTAGATGGACACCTTGACAAACGAGGTGGGCCAAAACCTGCTTTGATACCATGATAGAATTTAGGATGGGTATGGACAACTAGATTGGGTAATAAGACACTTGGGTCGAACTACATTAAAAGATTGAATCCAATCGATTAGTTAGTTTAACTCAAGAGCTTATATACCGGATTATTTTACTCTTGAACTTCTGATGTGGGATGCACTTTAACATATTTGATAGAAGAAAAGGTTGAGATTATTCAAACTAGTATCTTTGTTAATTGAAATGTTCAACCCAATTTGTATGTTAATTTTCAGCAACTAAATTCTCCTTTTGTTATTACGAGCACATTTTATGGAGTAAAAAGCTTTATCTTCTTTATGTTGTGACATTCTTTCAATATATGGGATCAAAGAAGAATGGTTGGGTGGGATTATTCAACCTAGATCCATTTTGTAAAAGACCCAACATAGATATGGATTCAATTTGTAATGGAATTATATGTTTAATAGCCCGTCATCCTACTGAAACGTGTCATCTTACCAAAGTTCCCTACACACACACACACACATATACACACACACATATACACACACACACACACATACAACACATACTCTTATTGTGTCTTTTTTACACATTTGCTTAAACACATTTCTTTTAAGGACATCACGATTTTTCCTAGTACTCTCAAATTATAATCTTGTCATCTTGTGTAATATATCCGTTGTTCGAGTTCTCCATTATAGGCCTTGAAGAAATGGTTGAAGCACTTACGTAGTTCCGTATGTAAAAGCCTATGAAGCACGACTGCTTTATTTTGGCAATAGCACCTATAAAGGGTATGCCTAGGTACATACCCAAACATTATATTATTCCCTTCGTCCTACAAAAAAAGATCCCATTTGACCTTAGTGGCAAACTTTGTTGGCTTTGATCGGTGATTAATACTCCCTTTGTCTCAGTGTATTCTAATTTGACATTCTCGGGTCAAACTTAACGAACTTTAATCATCAATTACTCTCAATTTTTATAACATATTAATACAATAAAAAAATTATTTTGAAAGTTCTCAACGAGGTAAATCTAAGTAAACCATTTTTAAACTAATGTACATTGTAATTTTTAGTTAGATAAAAAAAATTCATATTTGTTTGCTTTTACGGTGGTATGTTATAAATTTGGATTATGATGTTATTGTATATTCATGAAATGTAAATACTTTTTCTAGTCGTTGTTGGGAGAGACTTGAAAGAGTTGGAAGAAACTGAAAGGAATTGAAAAAAGTTGGAAGTTAACTTTTTCAACCCAAATGAAGAGACCCTAACACAAGCTAACTATAGTGGTCACACAATTGTTTCTGTCTTTAATACTAGTGGACTTTCATGACCCAACAATATACTACGAGTATCTTTTACAAAATACTCCCTCCGTCCCAAATTATTTGCAACATTTGCTTTTTCAGCAATCGCGGAAACTTTTGTTTATTTCTACGTTTTCATTGGTTATTTGATAAAATAAAATATTTTTGAGACCTCTTATTTCGAAGAACTTTTCATGTAGTTTTTTGATATGTAAATTTTATTTTTTATTTCTATATCAATATGTAAATAAAATGAATTGAAAAAACTTGATATTTTGCCTCGGGAATACAAGTGTGGCAAATATTTAGGGACGGAGGAAGTAGTTTTTAGTTCTATTTGAGTTTCTATTAAAATATTCATCAAACAACATGGGCTTGGGTAATGTTGTGTGTTTCCTGGTTTATCACACAAAATTTAGCATCTATTATTTGATTTTTTTCCTATATTAACCACACATATTGCCATACTCACACCCCAATTAGCAAAAAGCATTCATAACAGATGCTTATATGCATGCCCAATATGGATAACCATACCTGTCTTCATGCAACATCGGTAGGAACCCTTGTGTAGAATCTTCTCTCTTTCTGAATTCATGAGTAATGGGGCTTTTCTGTCCAGTCAGGTTGTGTTCACATTCATTTGACGGTGTTAATTGTAATTCGAAGACACAGTGAGGTGAACTGCATTTTGCCTTTACAATTTACTAAGTTCTAAAGAAGCAAGTGAAACCTCTAAAATGTAACTGTGTGGTAGGATCTCCACCCAGAGTCTCAAAGTTTCGTAGACAGACCTGTATAAGCAATAAAATCAGTAACAATAAAAATTTATGAACATAAAATTCTCAAGTTTTAATGGCAAATTAGTAACAATAAAAACTAAAAGGAATAAATTAGTGGCAAATTAGTAAGAATAAAATGTTATCATTAAACAAATACAAATATATAAAAACAAATAAAAGAAGGGGAGGCTCAAGGGGAGCTTGCAAGGGAGGCCCAATACTTGATCTTAGTTTTTTTATAGAAAAAATGCACGCCTTCTTGTGCCATAATTGAGAAAACCATATGGCCTGTGGCTAGATCGCCACAACTCCCACAAGGCATTTTTATCCAGAAATACACATGAGGCGTGCAATATGGCATAATCTGTAATGCCATTTCAAACATTGCCTAGAGTCTCAAAGTTTGATAGGCTGACCTGTATAAGAAAGCTAGAATGCCAATACAATTAATTCTGAGTAGTGTTAGTCAGGAAACTAGTCGCCATTATGATCAGCAGGATGTGGCTCTTACAGTTTGCAAAGTAAACCTGCAGTCAAATGGAGATTTGGCAGTCAAGTCAATGCTTCTGATTGGACCTATTTTGTAAGCTCTTACAATTATCATAAAGAGTTAATTGGTAGACATTTAGGAAGCTCTTTATTTAGGAAACCAAAACCAGTTTTATGCTGTCAAACTCCTTATTCAACCCTCACAACAGAAACACAATTGAAAGAGAATAAATATGAAGAGGATCAACCTCTTGGTCCATAATGACTGATTGCTGAGAACAAGTTTCATACACACACACACACATATATAAGCATGCCTTCCAAAGGTCTGCGCACTTCAAGTCTTTTGAGATGCTAGATTCACCTTTTTGTTCATTCTCTGTGGAAAAGACTTCAATGTGACGGGAGATTGTTATCGTCGTAAGAATGTAATAGAGTGGCAATTCATTCCATTCCCGTAGATTCATGAAAACACCATGCTCCGATAGAAGTGTTAAGTCAAGTGGTATCAGATCACCTCTAACACAACATCTTTGTTTGATAGGTTACTTGTAGTTCAATATCTGGGCCAACTGAATCTTTGAACAGAGCTCCCTAGCTTCATGCATAAACCCATAATGTTGAAGACAGTCAATAACTGCTCGAGCATCTGATTCTAGAATCTTCATACCACTTCTGATACCTGAAAGCAATAGGTTTGCCGCTACATGAAACCTCTTAGCCTTGCAAAGACCATTCACCAGTGATGAATAGGTAAAACAATCTTTCTTGTCCATTGAATTGAACAACCTTAATGCATGATCAACCTCGCCTACTTTACACAACCCATCAATACAGCAATTGAAAGCAACTAAACTTGAGTCAAAACCCATCAATTTTATACAGTTCAAATGACGAATTGCCATTGTCATATTTCCAGCCTTGCACAGCCCATCTATTAATATGGTGTGCGTGTATTTGTCACAGTCAAACCCTCTTCTTTCTGCTTCATCCAACAACATGTAGGCATCATCCAGTTTACCTTCCTTACAGTACAAATTAAGAAGGATGTTGTAAGCCACTAAATCAAACTCAATTCCATTCATGATCATATTTTCTACACAATTATACGCATCCTCCATCCTGCCCGCCTTAATTAAGAAGCTAATGATTGTACAATATGCAAATGAATCAAAGATATATCCTTCCCTTCTCATCTCTTCCAATATCTGAAGCCCTTCTTCAAATCGTCTTGACCTAAAACAGCATTTCATTATTGTAGTATATGTTATGGCATTAGGGTTATAACCTATGTGAATTAGTTCATTGAGAAGCCTTCTTGCAGGTACCCATCGTCCTAAATTGCAAAGCCCGTGAATAAGGATGTTGTATGTTACCAACTGTGGAATAAACCCAGAATGCTTTAAGTTCTTAAATAACAGGAGAGCCTTTTCTGTATGCCCATTCAAGCAAAGACCACTAAATAGAATATTAAATGTGACTGGACAAGGGTGTACATCTCCCAAAAAAATGTGCTGAAAAAACTTGTAGGCTTCATCTGGTTTTCCCAGTCGAAACAAGCAATTCATCAATGTATTATAAGTCCATATATCAGGCAGAATACCCACCTCAAGCATTTCTTCCAACAGGTCAACGCATCGAGATAACAAGCCATGCCTGGAAGCACTTGCTATCAATGAGTTATACGTAATAACATCGGGCTTAATGCCAGCTTCTTTCATTCTATGAATAAAGCTATAACCTGCATCAATGCTTACAAAATGACAGTATGCTGTGATCAGAGTATTGTAAGTCACCAAATCTGATGTTACTCCAACTCTTATACCATCAAGTATCACTGCTTCTGCTCTTTCCAGTTGTTTGTCTTTACAAAGACATGCTACAGTTATGTTCAGTAGCTTTGTCGACAACCTACCTTTAATTCTGAACATCTATTTCAAATATTAAGCCTGTAAACCTTTCACCTTGAGTACAAACGCATATCTCAGCAAACCCAAACTACTTCTCCAATGTAACCAAAATCAATTGAAAATCGAAATGCCTTCAATCAAGGCCTTCTAAGCAATGTACAGAGCAGCGGTGGTGCCTGAGGGTGACGCCCAGAAGGCCGCCTGTGCTGGTAGCAAATCGCCTGCAGCAGGTGGCAAGCAGTTGCTAACTGATAGAGAGAGACGGCGGGATTGGTGAGAGCATCTAAAATGAAAAGAAGTCATCGCCGCGGGTGGATTTGACTGGTCAGTAGTGGCAAGCCGGCGGCGAGACCTCTTTAGGTCGTCGCCGATGCTGTTGATAGTCGACAGGACTGGCGACGTTGCTGGGTGCTAGTCGGAATTGTTGTCGCTGAATGCTGGGTGCGCTAGTAGGAATTGTTGTGGAGGGAGAGGGGTGGAGAATTGGAATTTGGAAGAAGTAAGATGATCCTACCTCCAGCAACATTTATCACCATAAACCCTCCCAGAAATCTTTTTCAATTAACTATTTTTAACATTTGATCTATAATTAAATAAAATATATGTTTTATATTAATTATATTAAATAATATTTTGAAAATATTTTATATAATAAATCTAATAAAATTATTTTTGTATCGATATCTAATATCATTTTTATTTAATTTAGGGTTAAAGTTTGTCAGTTTCGGCCAAAAAAATTAAAAGTAGACAGGTACTCCGGGACGGATGGAGTAGTTAACTATATGTATGAAATCAAAAAGGTATTCCTAGTGGTGTATGTGAGTAAACTTCCCCATTGGTGTCTCCATTTTGCTATTTAAAAAAAGGAAAAAGATTAAATTAGAAGTAAAAAATCAGAGCACATAGCGGAGACTAAAGTTTGCATACTATTGTTTGCTTTGAACCATAGTGGAGCACACGCACTTTTGCACACATGCGAAACTGTGCCAAATATTGGAAGGCGAAATGCTCTGATGCCGAGCAATGCTCGTGGATGATCCAGGTTGTTCAGGCTAAAAAGTCTTTCGTCTCAACTAAAAAACAATACAAGGGGCAACATTCATGTAGACCAAACTATACTAAAGAGAGTGATGACAAGCTTACTACAAGTGAGCTTATTACTAGAATTATTAATTCAAAGATCGCGGAGGATGCATATTACAAAATCAAATACATCATTAAAGAGAGTGATGACAAGCTCACTACAAGTGAGCTTATTACTAGAATTATTAATTCAAAGATCGCGGAGGATGCATATTACAAAATCAAATACATCATTAAAGATGTGTATGATTTGTTTCAAGTAACTGTATCCTACAAATAGACATGGTGTGCAGGGTTAAATGTAATTCGATGACTTTATAGTCATGGGAGAGCTCTTATAGAAAGGTACTTCCACTACTTGGAGTTATAATACATTTAATCCTGGTGCGGTTGTGGAACTACAAATGTGGCCCACTATCTCTCAAGACAAGTTTGAGTTCATGTAAGTGTTTTGGTCAATCCGAGCAGTTATAGATGGGTTCACGTCTTGCTTCCTAGTGGTCTATATTAATGGCACTCATTTGTAGAGTAAGTATAAGGGGGATATTGGTTGTAGCAATGACGGTCAACCACAAGATTTTGTCCATAGCTTATTCAGTTGTTGATGTAGAGAACGGGGATAGTTGGATTCGGTTCATGAAACATTTAATGCGTCATGTCGTAGCAGCTGAGATGACGGCCTGCATCATTTATGATAGACATGGTGGAGTTGATGTAGCATTTAAGAGAGTGCCCCACTTACTAGAACAACAAGTGACACAAAGATATTGCCTGCTTTTCAGAAAAAAATTTACCAATAAGAGGGTCGAGAGTCTGGGTTAAGAGTCTAATGTACCACGCCACTAGTACACCAGATATTAAGGAGTGCCACCAAACACTACAAGAAATTGTGTCACGACCTCTTGAGGCATACAACTAGTTAGTGGCCTTGTCGATGGAAATGTGGGCACTATTCTACGATGGTGAGGTAAGGTATGGAACTCTTACAACTAATCTTCAAAAAAGCTTTAATCGTGTATGAAGGGATGTCGGAGTCTATCGATATACGCTATTGTCTTGACCACGCACGAAAGATTAGTCAGACTGTTTGCAGAAAGGCGCATACAAGAGTTCACATGGCAACAAACGAGATACAAATATTCAAGGAATGTATTTATCGTGTAATTGTGGGGGGCATCACTGGAGGCACAAATAACCAAGAGACATTTTCTGTGAATCTAGCCAATAGGTGGTGCCAATGTGGGAAATAGTCTACGTTCCACATGTCATGTGAACACATATATACAATATGTCACTATAATCGAATGATGGTGGATCAATTCATTCTGTCTACGTTCTCACTTCAATCATGTATAAATGTGTATTCTGGAAATCTAATGCCACTTCTACTAGAAATGGAAAGGCCACATCCTGGATATGAACTAGTGCAACCGACAAGAGGACAACGTTCACAGATCGGTCATTCGGTAAACACACATTTCACCAATAACATGGATATGCGACCACATCGATGTAAAAATAACTAATTTGAATAATTAGTTCTTTTCTCTTATTTTTCTATTTAATCATGTAATACCTATTTCATATTTAGTTCAAACTTGCTACTCTCATCAATCTCAAATGATCTAATTTAAATAGGTAAGTTTTAGTTGTTCTTTTTATTATATCTTTGAAATAAAATATATTGAAGGGATAAAATATTGTGTTTTATTTCCGCAAAGTGCATAACATTTTAGGTAGGAGGAAGTAATGTTTATAAAAAAAAATTATTGTACCAAAACAACAATAGCAGCTCCATTTTTGCCTTTTAAATAAAGTATCAAGACTTTACCCATATTAAATTCAAATGACATGTTAGACTACAAAACGGAACTAGCAGTAGCGTCTTGCCAAAAAATCAGATATGTTAGATAGGAGATACACACATGAGAATGCATTTTTAATTTTATGCATATATTGGGAGAAGACCTGGAATAGCTGGAGCAACTATGTTAAACATAAGTCTAGTGGGACATCTCTTTTTGAAGAAAAATAGTCACTTTATTTTTACACTATTCATTCCATTTTAATGTATCATAATTGGTGAGATTTGATGTTTGCGAAAGGTAAAATTGTATAATTGAAAGTGGTATTGAAAATAGAGAAATGATGTAAGTCACAAAAAATAACCTAATATGAAAAGTGAAACCTTATTTTAAAATAAATAAATAAAAGTTTTTTGAAATATTTTTTCGGGATGGATGGAGTAACTAGAGTATTGTAAGAGTACTCCGTATTGATTAAAATGTCTATGACTACCAATCTATAAGTGGTATTAGGCTTTGGGGTGTGCCCACGGGGAAGCCACCTGACGCGGGAAGGGAAGGGGAACACCGCCCCCGTTTTTCCCGTTAACCTTCAACGGTCAAAATTCCTTTTTTATTTTTTTGTGAAATAGCCGTTATAAATTCAAAAAATTAAAAACTTTCATTTTTTAACACAACACTCAACTCAGTGTCGGACCCAAGATTTCTAGAGAACGGGTTCACTCTCTCAAAGTGTTCTTTAGGGGCGGATACTTAAGGAGAATTGATCCATTTTAGTTTAAGGAAAATGGTGAGTTGCATTTTGATATTAATATTGATAGCTCTATGTAATACTATTTCAGAAATTTTTTTATCAAGAGCATAGCAAAAGAAAGTATACCCTCTTTGTTTTAAGCAAATAAGAAAAAAAAAATCCAGGACCACCTAGAGACATTTCTCCAAACACATAGAGGGCATAAAATATTAACCTAAAAAAAGAATAATTTATGAATCAATTAAAGAGTTCAAAAATAAACAAATATGAGTAGTAACTAACTATAATGCAAAAAATAAACAAATTCAATCAATTATAAATATATAGAGTAAATTCCATCATTAGTCCTTTATAAAAAGGGGGTTTCCATATTTAGTCTTCTATTATCAAATATTACCCTCGTAATCCTTTTTTAAGGATGTCTTTCCATAAATGGTCATTTTTCTTAATCTTCCGTCATGTAGGTGTTAATTTAAAGGCTAAAAGTATAATTTGACATCAACATTATGTCGAGTGACGTGTTCTGATATTGGTTAAGCGGATAACACAAAAATAATGACTATGATTGCGGGCTAGGATTCCAACGGAAGACCATATTTGTAGACTATGCTTGTAGTAGAAAGCGAATGTAATTTACAAACGACGCAAACGGAACAACCTTTGGGATTGTGTATGACAAAAAGATATATTATCATTGTGAAATTACACTTTTAGCCCTCAAATTCACTCCAACATGATAAAAGATCAAAAAAGGACTATTTGTGAAAACATATCCATAAAAGAAGGACCACTGGAGTAATATTTGATAATAGAGGACTAAATAGGGAAACCCCCCAGTTATAAAGGACCAATTATGGAATTTTACTCAAACATATACTATGTAAATAGTAAAAACAACAAGATTTTTCCTTTTAAATTGTATCTTAGATATGGGTTGTAAAAATAGGGCAAAGGGAAATTAGGAATTGGCTTTGAATAGGAGATGCAGAAAAACAATGAAAAACACAATCAGGAACTCATCAAATTACTAGTAATAGTCTAATACATATACTAACTAAAAATGAGTGGGTGCAAGTGACTCCACTTGCACCACTTGCACCACTCTAGGTTCGCCCCTAAATCCACTCATTTTTTTCGCACACTTTCCATATATTTCTTTGAGTTTTGGTTTTATTTTTGTTAAACAACTTTCATATTTTTGAGTACTATGGATCCATTCCGACCACCAGTGTCTTTCTCCAATTCTTTCTTTTCTTTGTTTGCGGCTTACGCTCAAGGGCCGAGTTCAGGTTAAACAACAAACGATAGTGGAGAAGCTTGAGAAAAGACGCAAAGAAAAAGTGGAGCAGCTTCCCTCGAATGCCAACGCCTAGAGCAAGAAAACTTCAAAATCATGACCACCAACGTCAATAAGCTTGGTTCGATGGAATGTGCGGTGGTGATGCGGATGAAAGATGAGATACCCAGTGGTGGCTTGGAGGTGCGGTGAGTGATGGCTCAAACGGGGATGTTTGGTTTTTTTACTATTATGTTTATTTTTAATGTGTACTGTTATTTTTTCTTTAAAAAATGTATTGTTTTATGCACTATTATACTTCTTAGATGCACAATTCTTGTATTTCTTATTTAAATTTTAATAAAATGTTCAATTATTGCAAGTTTAATAAAATGTTCAATTATTTTGATTATTTTTGTGTTTTAAGTTTAATTATTTAAATTAAAATAAGTGTTAAAAATATTAAAAATTGAAGGGGAAAAAGGGAAAATATTTTTT